GGTCGGAGTTGGTTAAACCCTTCGAAGAGGGCTAAGCAGCATTTACTTTATTTTTCTACTTTTGTACCCATCTTGGGGATTTTCTTTTTATTTTTAATTGATTTTTGAAATTTAAATAAATAAATGCTTCACCGCGTCTTAAAAAAAAAAAAAAAAAAAAAAAAAAAGTAGTAAAATTGATTTGTTACTGTCTAATCGAACTGTCACTAAGGTAATTGCTAATATGTTTTTTAATTGCTAATATGGAGAATCACGTTAAAAATTTGCAAGAACTGATTTTAAAAGAATTTACATTTATAAAATTTTTCAAGAAAATTGGATATCAATTTTCTCAAAAGGCCCAAGCAAGAGACAGTTTGCGTGAGGCATTAAAAGTTCTTGCCTCAGAGGAGGACGAGTATTCGCAGAAGGCTATAAGCTTACTAGACGTCTTTGATGAACAAATGAACTCCTGTGCTGTCGAGAAATATTGGAATGGCCTTAAAGTACAAAATGAACGAGATAAAACTCGCACTGAACAACTAGTTTTAGAAGAAAAAAAGGTCAGTATCTACGTTTTGTATTGTAGATTATAATTACTAATTTGCTAACTGTGAACCATTTAGGAACAACATTCTTGTCTCATTGATTCTAACGTAATAATTGAGCATAACCGATCAAGTAATAGACTAACGTTAGAATCGTCGATTGATGTGGTTGTTTGATAGATCAATTCGTGAGCTTATGTAACATTGTCAATCAATTAACGTACTTATTTGATATATTATCTAGGACGTATCAGCCACGCCCAAACAAGATTATTATAATTTGAGGCGAAAAAGAAGCCTTGATGGTGATGAAAACCGAGATATAAAAAAGATTAATTATGATGATGATGCTGATGATACACCATGCCCACGTGGTCCATATTCGTTTTCGAAGGCATCTGAATACCTTCCAAGGTAGGTTATCGCTGACTTTTGAGCTCATAAATGGCGATTGCTGAAACTTTTCGGTGCCAATGTATCATTAAACATTTCTTATAGTTCCTGTGATAAATCCGACGACACTGATGATATTATCGTAATCTCTGATGATGAAGCTATAGATGACAGGATAAGTTTTAATTTTGATGAGATCGAAAGACAATTTGGAATAGAATGCAAAGATCAAGTACGCAGTAAATCGAAATTTCTGTTACTATATAACTATAATTTACCTTATTATTATTATTTTCGTGTTTTAGTGGAAAGTTGGTGATATCGATGTCACGGAAAAGTTTAGACAATATCAACATGACCTTCTTCACGACATAAAATATGGTATTAAAAGGCTAACATGGAAAGATACTTTTGACGTGTTGTAAGTATTAAATAAGTATTCTAAAATACTTTACTACATATTAATTAACATATCTTTTTCCATTACATTTTAGGGCTTTGGGATCAATCATAGTTCTCGATTGGCCTTGCCCATATAATACCTTTACAGCTGACGAGTGGCTTGAAATAACAAATAGCAACCCTTTTAAGTTGACAGAACCAGTGTTAAATACTGACTTGACATCACTATTATACGATGCCACTTTCAAAAAATCATTAGGTCTGATAACTAATTTTATAAATATAAATAATAATAGTAAACATTTTCATCTAGCTAAACGAATTTTATGTGGCTTGTAAGTTAGACTCTTAAGCATTTTGTCAATCTTAAAGTGAAAAGATCGGAAGAGCTAATCTTTCTTTTTTTACTTTTTACTCTTTAGGGCTGACGATGTTCCAATTGTAACTCCAAGCAGAACATCTGAAGATGAACATAGGTTTCAATATCTAGATCCCTTTCTCAAACCCATATTTGGTGGACCCTATAAAAATTATAAATTGAGATTAAATCGTGCTATCTATGGGAGCCAAAAGAGGCCGGATTTTTCATGCGTTGTGGACGAAGTGCCAATCCTTAACTCTGAAGTAAAACCCATTGGTTATACGGAACTACAAAGAGATAAAGATTATGTTAAAGTGAATTTTAGGGCAAAGAAGACTATAAATACTTTGATTAAGAATGGAGGTGTTCCCGATCAAACGATTTTTTTTATCAACATGGGTATATACAGTATATCTTATCATGAAATTTTCTATCATTTATTTTCGTTATATTCACTAATTGTTCATTTGAAACTTTAGGTAATACTGTTGAATCGTTCATAATGGATCTTGAATTTGAAGGAATATATTGATCCTGGCCTTTTCTGAAAACCAATCTCGTAACTGATAGACAGACACTTCCACTTATTGTTCAAACGTTGTCTCACTTTGTCGCATTAGAGGTATATAGTATGCTACATTTTTATCTTTATGATATGTTATGCTTATATTGCACCATATTTGTATTTTTAGGAACGTGTCAATAATTTAGCAGGAGATTATAAGCGTCGACCAAGAAGATCCTCCAAACCAGCTAGGAAAGACAAATTTATTAGAGACCTACCTGATTCTCCTCAATTGAAAAGGCTATTAAAATGAACTTTATTAATATAGTATAATTAATTCTTCACAAAGTTTTCATATAAAGTTTGCCCACATTTCGGGCTTGTGTTTTATGCAGGTTGTGTATGTATACGTATCAGAAAATAAGTATCAAAAATTTAAAGTGATCGGCGTGACAAATTGTCACGCGCACGTGGTTTTTTTATCTCCTAGCACAGCTTCGAAGGGGAATAATTTTTCGTGGAGTCGTCCTGCGCCATTTCTTCTGCGCAATTTTGACGAGCAGACCATCAAGGAAAATAAACTAGTCATAGGTTTCAGAACATAATTTTAACTGAATTTTAGACTGCGCCCTTATGGCATTGCCATCAAAAATAGTCGTATGTTCTTGGATCGTCGTCGTCTGTCACTTGATCACATTTTTTTCTGCATCAGAAAAAATATTATTTTTTTTTGCACGTGTATTTTATTCGTAATCATTTTCCCGAAGGCTTATCAAAAAATGATTAGCCGATCATCTCGTGATTTATAGAACTTGGGATCACATGTGATACAAATTTATAATTTAGCCGACCATGGTGATCGGGTCTAATTTAACCGAATCAAAAATTATGAATCTAACAATCGAATAAAAATGAATCCGATATTTTATTATAATATACTTGCTACAAACTGCTATAACGCTAAATATTCGCTAAAACACTATAATCACTAAAATTGCTATAAGTTTTATTTATTGTCCATAATCACATATAATTATCAAAATGCCTGGACAAATGGTTAAGATCATTTTAGATAACATTTATAATAAAGCTGTACCTAAACCTATCAATCTTCGTCC